AGTCAGTGGCATTCTGGTACTTTCTATGTAATTTCTGTCACTCAACTAAGAGATTCATTGATTTATCATTTCAGTCTGTTATTCAACATACAGAATTTATTGAAAGTCAACAATTCACATATGTCTTTGGTGTGGAAGTTGCTGTCCTCACCTCCATAGTAAAGTCCTGTAGCTGTGCACATTCTCCACTGACCCTGATACATGCCAGGAGACACGGGGCTCTGCATCTGTACACTAACATCAGCCATTTCCTGGGGGTCTAGAGACCGCACCATCACCATGTTTACGTGACCAAACTGGTCTCCTCCGACATACTTCAGACAAACCCCGGGAGGCCACGACTCTGGACCTGAAAGACACACAGACAACTATGTTGAATTCGGCATGACACCTGAGTGCAATGATTCTATATTTGCCAGGTCTAGAATCGGCTCTTACCCGTGTTCTGTATCCTCCAGGTCTTTGTAAAAGGTGTGTCAGGTGGAACTGATTCACCCTCACCAATTGTCACATCCTTCACAAAGGACATGCACGGTGCACTGATGTTGGGACTCTCAAAGTCATAGTAGGCTCCAATGGCTGCCTGTAAATTCCTACAACAACAGAAGACAGAAATCCAGGTTATCAGCACAGATCTAAATTGGAGTATAATTGGAGATTTATGCAGGCAGGAACCCATGATTCAGCAACAGTTTACACAGTTATGAATGAGCTTAGGCCGAAAATCTATAGAGAGCCAAAGTCCTTTTTCCTGGCTTTGTGCCACATGTCTGGACAATTATTTTAAAATTTCAATCATGAAGAAAGTCAACCCATATTTGCAACTGAGGACTATTTTCATTATTAATTAAACTTCTGATTGTTTTGTCAATGAATCAATTAATTGTTTGGTCTGTAAAATGTCATAAGTAGTAAAAAAAAAAAAAATGTCACAATTTTGTTATGCCTAAACTGATCTCTTCTAATTACTTGTTTTGTCCAACCAACAGTCCAAAACTCAAAGATATTCTATTTACAATCACATAACACAAAGTACAATCAATTAACTGTTTCAGTCCTTAACATACTATACTTGAACCTGTAGTTATTGAATGACAAAGTAATAATTGTTTTTCTTTAGTAATATGGTGTCTACCAATTTAGCTTTGATTGGGAAACCACAGAAACACACATCTGCTTTTACAAGACCAATTAAAAAGAATTCTTTAACCTTGATATTATTATCAGTACTACTACTATTTGTACTAAAATATTAAACCATTCATGACAGCATATTTTGACATTTGACTATGACATTCAAATGCATATATTGAGGGCAACAACAGAGATATCTGCAGACCAAAAGACACACAGAGTGGGGGCTTCCAGTGACATGCTGGTCATCCATAAACCAGCAGTTTTTATTTTTAGAAAGCCCGTTGCAGAGGAGCTATTACACGGCATCACATGATTCTACCACAGCCTGCACTGCCCATAGACACTTGCCTGTTATCTTGCATAGACGTGCATCGGCATGTTCAATACTGCATATGCGCAGAAAAATGTATTTTGGGGAAATTTCAGAATGACCTTTCCGTCCCTAATGTTTTCAATTATACTCAAGGACATTGCTTACTGTTCCGTTCTTGAAATATGTCACGTGAAGCCACATTTTGAAGCCCGAAAAAGGGCTATACAACTGCAATTTGTGACGTATTCCCAGTTCGTGAAAATACATATTACTATATTTTCTCCAGGCTCCAGATTGACCAGACTTGCACAACCACTGTGTGAGTTTTGAACTAGACTCTGCGTTATTTTTTCGGATATTACGTAATAACCCGTAGCGATCCTCGCAGTGGTTGAGATCAAGAAGAGATATACATTTTGATCATTTTGTCAATCGATAACGAACGAAACAGGGATCTAACACAGTCCTCCCATAGATAAACAATATAAGTAGTTCAAACATTGTGAAAAAATACTGATAAACTATTAATGATCGGTTCAGTACAGTGACGTAATAACTTGGTAACTAGCTTGATGTAAAAGTAGTGACCGGCTAGCTAACGTACAACTCGTGTCAGTAGCCTGAACAGCCACGAAAAACATTCACATAAAAAATAATAAAATGTATTTTTATTCAAAAACAAAGCCACTTCGATCCGAACTTGTGTGCTGGCTGACTATTTATCCTTTAAACCCCGCTAAGCAACCTTCCACTGAATCCCTCACTGGAAATCAAAAGTCGGAGACACACTGACTCAGCTAGTTACGTTACTACAACGTCGTTAGCTGTCACTGTCTCCATGTTTACATATCTAAGGTAAATCACTGTGACACAATGAAGTATGACACTTCCTATCATTATCTTTTTCTGTTTTCTCGGCGATTTGTCCTTGTACAGTAAGAACCACAGTGTAGAAAGCTAGCTAGTGTACAGTATCTATTATCTAACACTAACTACCCAGCAGGCCAGACGAGTCCCCGAGCTCACCAGTTGGTCATGTCCAGAAAGAAGGCGCATCCGGCGGGGTTAAGCTGAAACCCAAGGAGCCTCTGAAATTCCGATATTAGAATATCTTTGTCTGTTGTACCCATGCAGCTGAATTTCTGCATGAGCTCCTGGTCCAGGTCCAGGTCCAGGTCCATGCCCTCCATCGCGGCTTCGCCCGTACAGAGACGTGGGGCTTCGCTCCTAATTTAGTCCGAGGCCTCGACTTGTCATAACAAACTCAACAACAGGGCCGAGTGCGCATGTCACATGATTGCATCTTGTGCCTCTACCTTTGAACCACAGGCCTGGTGGAGAAAATGAAATACTGATCTCTATACCAGTATATCATACTACTAATAATATGTAATCAACTGTCAGGCTAAACAAATTGAATACTATCAAATTATGATTTTTTTTTTTTGTTAAATTTATAAAACGTTTTTTTCTTTTTTATAAAACATACAGTTATATGTGATCTGTTTGGCCACCCATAGGCAAATTAAAGTTTTTATCAATTCTTGGAGTGAAAAGAAGTAACTCTCATGAACTACCTCAAGTAACGCAAGCTGAAGCTTTTGGAAATGCCCTCACAATCCTCTGACTTGAACATTATTGCCAATCTGTGGGTAGATCAGCCAAAAAATATCACAGAACTTGAAGTGATCTGCAGGAAACAGTTGGGAACATTCCTGAAATAGGAACAGAAAGGTACAAAAACGTTTGCAATCTGTGACATCAGTCAAAGCCAGGATTACTAAAGCCAGGATTACTAAACAGTGACTTTGTATGGTGCCCAAACTTGTACTGTACATGCCAGAATAACTCTTTAATTTTTGTCTGTTTTGTAAGTTCGTAAAATATAAGGCAACAGTGCATTGACAGGGGTTGTATTTACTTCTTTTCACTTAATTAATAAAATATGTAATTTGTTCAGGAGTGACTAAACTCTTGCGTACCACTGTATTTCTGTATAAATTTCTTCTTTGATTTGCAATGTTGTATTTGTACACTGGAAAATGAGCAATGGGAATACCTCCACTTGTTGCAGGTGTTCTATTTACATGACCAGATTGACCTGTTTGTGGGCCCATGGCCAAAACTTTGCTGTTACCTCCAAGTTCCCATCATGCATAGTGCACATTTTGCTTAGAGACCCACAGACCATCCAAGACTCTTATACTAGAATACTAACTGGATCCAGGTTTTCTGTATAGTCTGGTTTCCATCCAAATGAACCACACAGCTTATTCCATTAAACATTGCAGAAGAGGTGAGTGCAATGAGTTGACATAATTAAAATACTGCCAATCAAGCCACAAACAATGAAAAGCAACTTAGAAAGTGTAATGGAAATATGCCATTTACCTTTTTGTCATGTATTAACCCTCTGGAGTCAGGGTTGATGTTTTCAACTGATTGTACTCCACATGCATGGTCTCAAACTCTGGATCCTTTTGTGTAGTGTGTAAAGCTGTCAGAAAAACTACACAGGAGGCTATAAAACTTTAAAAATCTTTAGTTTGTGGAACCCTACAGACACCTTATTACTCCATAGAGATCTGATGTTTGCGTGCACTGTCATTTCCATTGTACTTTGTTGCATTATGCCTGTATTGATACACCAGCTTTTCCACTTCAGCCAAAAATGTTTTTGCAATATTTCTTTTTTTTCCCTGAAATGCAAATTGAAAATGCAACAAACAAACTGAAAAAAACAGATGAGTGGTACACACACTTTATGTCACTTAGGTTGTGGCAGTTTGTTGAAACATAATTTTATTTAGGAAAAGCACCATGTGAGCACAGTATAATCTATAATGATAAAATGTAAAGTTTATATTTTCCTTTTAGTGGTGGGCCCCAGACTCCCAGACTCCCAGGGGCCCCAGTAGCTCCAGGCTTAATATGATTAATCCCTAGTTTGTGGTCCTGGTCTCATAGAGGGACTCTGTGTCAAAAGCTAGTTTTAAGAACTTAATTGTTTTAGCTCATTTTAAGTTGTAAAGTTGAAAAACAAATCAAAATGCTTTAATTCTTATGTATGCCAAGTATTCAACAGTCAGAGATACTGTGACAGGGCCTTACAGTACTGTAAGACAGCAACCAACAATTATTTGCATTTTCAATAGGTCTGACAATTATTTCCTCTACAAAAAAACAGAGTTAACATGACTAGTTAATACGACCATGTGCCTCGAGACTTCTTGACTAGATATAATTTTAAAACACACAACCTTCGCTTTACAGTAGGCTACAGTAGTGTCATTTTCATTTTTAACTGTACTTTATTATTAAATATTTTGTCATAACTGGTGGGATTCTCCGCACTCCCGCCCACCTGTTTTCCCCTGAATATCCAGCAGATGGCAGCATTGCGTTTTTCTGCTGGAGAAGTGTCTGTGTGTGTGTGTGTGTGTGTGTATGTGTGTGTGTGTGTGTGTGTGTGTGTGTGTGAGTATGAGTGTTTGAAGAAGGGGGGTTTCAGCTGCTGTCCGGTGTTTGGCGATATAGCAGCTAGGCTGTGCTCTGCCAGCAGCGGCTAACAAGATGCACACAGCTAGTGCTATGTACAGTATAGAGGTGCCTGCAAGCTAGTATATGTTTATTTAAGAGGGAGAACTGCTGCTACCGGTACGACACGAACGCTAGCAGAAATGGCCGGAATTATTAAAAAGCAAATTCTGAAACATTTGTCAAGGTAAGTGTCATCTTTGGCTTTGTGTTAGCCAGTTAGCCCAGCTGGATGATGATGTTAACGTTTCTGAATATAACACAGCAAACGTTAGTTCGCTAGTATTTGCCATCTACATGTAGCTGCATCGATTTACTCACAGCATACCATCAAGCGCAACGCCACATGTTGTAACAGCCCCATGAGAATAACGTTAGGAGGTTTGACAGGGACAGTGAACGCAGCAAACCACCTCAATCTGGACGAGACAGATCATGTTAACTACATTACTTTTCCTAGTGTATCTATGTGTGTTCTTAAAGGCACGATAGTCTATATAGCCTACTTGCTTTGGTAATGGGCCTACTACCCATCGTCACTGTTGAAAAAGCTCTTCTCTGTCTTTTTATATCACTTAACGGTCTAAGGCCCTCAGTATTATAGTTACTTTACATTGGGAATGTATCTGAAGTGGCATCCTTTCTTTTTAGCCATTTCTATCTATACCTCTATCCATCCACCTGTCTGTCTGGATTAACCTCCCTGTGGCAAAAAATTCTTTATGGACCCCTGTTGTTCCCCACTGTAACCAGCCCGCACCCTTGGGCCGAAGTGATTACTTGACAAATCTATTAATCCTTTGACAGACAATTAACTTTGATGGCAATTGTGATAATCGAAAAAAAAATCACAAGTACTAGCTTCTCCAATGTGAATATGTACTAGTTTGCCAGTTTTCTATAAAAGTACACTCAATAGCTTTGTGTTTTTGACTGTTGACCCGACAAATATAGCATTTTTCTATCTATCTATCTATCTATCTATCTATCTATCTATCTATCTATCTATCTATCTATCTATCTATCTATCTATCTATCTATCTATCTAAACATAATTCCTGTCTTCACCCAAGTACAGAAAACATTAACATCTCCTCAAGCAGAAAGAAAGAAAAAAAGATTTTCTAGATAGAGTCAGATATGAAGGGAGTAATTTAGTGTTTTACATATTTATATCTTGAAAACTGTTTGGCCTGTTGTACATGAATGAATGAAAATTGTCAGCTGACATTTACTATCAGACTGCTCAGTTATGCTCCTACAGTTTACAGTCTTTTTCAGCAACATTTATTCCCTCTCACACCTTGCTATACATAAGCAAATACTGCTTTCTCGTCACCTTCAGCATCTCCTGCAGATCTGGCTGCAGTTCTCTGTCCACACCTTGTCTCACTTCCTCCATATGTTATGCTGCTGCTCAGGAGACATAAAACTTTCTATTCCTACCTACAATTCATTTTTTTTTTTTTTTTTTTTTTTTTTTTTTTTTAGGTTTTATTGAAACAATGTGTCATGTTTTCTGTTGTTCTCAGTTTGGCACAGCTGACAAGTGAAGAAATTAATTTGGGTGAGAGAGCAATGTTGACATGTGTTTAAAAGGTCTCTCTTTCCCCAGCTAGATGGGGTAAAGGCTTAAGTTGATCATGTGCCTGGACAATAGGTGTGTGCTAAATCCCTTCGACTCACTGTTGTTCTCCTTGTCTCTGTTGCCTTTGTCACTGAATAATTAAAACAATTATTTGCACCAGATAGGACACAGTGGACACATACTTGAAAGCTAGACATGCAAGCACATTAATGTTGTGGGTCTAATAATATATCCATGGTTGTGGGTTAGAGCTTGCTCTTTGATAGGAAATGAGCTTCATAGTCCTATGATATCTTCGGTTTTCTTTTCAGCAATAATTCAATAATATTCTATCATTCCGTGCTAGTTTTAATATATCCTTATTAGTGGGTGACCCAGTGTAGCAGTATTCTTAATAATAATACTCATAATTTTTAACACAGGCAGGAAGATGACGAGATCATATCATCAGTTGTAACCTGTCCCTACCTGTAGTACATCTCTGTTAATGGCAGGATTTTTTGTCCAAGTCCACAGCCACTGTATGTTTTGCTGTAAATATACAGATGGAACCTAAAACTTACATACAGTGGACTTCTGGGGGATTGATGGGTTTAAATTGATGATTTCAAGTCTGATCCTTTTGTGTTATGTGTTTCAGAGCAGTTTTGGTTTTGCTCAATTGTAAAACCACAAAGTTGTGCTTTTGCCCGTGTTTGTACAATGACTTCTTTATTGCCTTTGATAAGCTCTGGAATTTCTGCACTTTTTAAACCGTGCTAATCTCAGCAATTAGCCAATATTGCTAGATTTACAAAAAAAGAACCACTATATTCTTTGCTCTATTGTTGGTTTTAACCATGTACACCATTAAATCACTTCTTTATATTCTTATCTGCCAATCCAAAAGGCAATTGTTCAAAAATGCAAAAGTTGAATCAAAGCTGTTTTGTGTTTTCAGACAGGCCGGCTAGCTCTATACCTCACAGTTGACTCATTAAAGGCCCTTAGAGACTGTGAGTGAATATGAAATGTTAATTTTAGGAAAACAATGCCTCAGGTTTTGTCAACAGTAGAAGTAGAGCCGTTATTTTGTTGCTCAACACTAAAGGGAAGCCTACATTTTGACTGGCTCATCAGGTTTATCAGGTACAGCATAGTATTAGGCTTAACAGTGTTAAAAATTTTAACAAGTTTGACTACATTCACATGTCTTGAAACTGTGAGCCACACTTAATCTATGGCTCTTTCATCAGTGTCTCTTGGCTGATGTCTGAAATGTCACAGGGATTTGTTAGAGCAGTGCTCAGTCATGTGGTGTACGTGAAATTAAAATACTTATCAAATCAATTAGCTACAATTTCTGTTATATTTATCCTGTGTACGGTCGTAGCCTAGTCCTGACTGTTGTAGCTTGCTACATTAGCAGACATTTAACCTAGATGGGGAGTACAGCTGTGGCTGCTATGGTTTCTCATGATGACTCATTCATTTGCACTCCTTCAAACGCATCTTAGCCAAGCTGCATAATTCATTTTTTTTCTCCCGCATCATCAGTGACGTATGCTGGCGTTTCCCTGGTAAAAGTTATACTGAACTCCTGTGTGTTTTCACATTAAAACAGTTTATTTTAACAGTTTATCTGGTTCCCTTCCTCAGGTTCACCAAGAACCTGTCCCCAGACAAGATCAATCTGAGCACGCTGAAGGGGGAGGGGCAGCTGTCCAACCTTGAGCTTGATGAAGAGGTTCTGCAGAACATGCTTGACCTGCCTACCTGGCTGGCTGTCACTCGGGTCTACTGCAACAAAGCCGCCATCAGGGTAAGTTATTAACTGGTCAAACCTGACTGTGTAGCTGCTCTCTAGAGGCTCTCTCCCTTTTCTGAGAAGACTATTGAAACACAAAAATGGTAAAGAAATGCTACATGAATTATTTCAGTTTGGTTATTGTCTCCTTGTTCATTTTAAAACTAAATAAAAGTTTTTTTATTTTATTAAAGCCAAAGAGCTCTCTTTTGAACTTCAGAATGTGTAGAATCGTAGAGGAAATGATCAGTGGCAGTACCACAGAGATTAACTTTGCTAGAGGCGCTGCTGAGGACGATGATTCTTCAGACCAGAACCGGTTGTTGGTAATAGAAAGTCAAGCCATGATTCAGAGAGGCAGAAAAGGCCAGAGGCTATTGTGATCCTGAGATATACTGGCTGTTGTACATTGAGCTGTCAGGGTGGCTGGTTTGTGTTCCCAAATAATCCCAATAATACTACATGTACAAGACAGTTTGTTTAAAGTTCAGGAATAATATTCCTATAGTTAATAAAGTGAATTCTACACATAATATATATATATTTTAATCTCCTGAACCTCAGTTTCTCCTAGAGTTTCATTAAAGGTAGCTTTAAAGTAGGAAACAAATGTTTTCTCAACATTGTCAGACAGTATTACATATATGTATGTATGTATGTATGTATGTATGTATGTATGTATGTATGTATGTATGTATGTATGTACTGTATATATGTATTATGCCTGCAGCTGTACTGTATGATGCTTTTTCTCACTAAATATCCAAGTCCATTACACTTTACAGCTTTACCATTAATATTTGCGTATCAATCTTGTTTTAACTTTATCTTAATAATGAGGTTTGTGGTATAGTCAATAGACTCAGTAAAAAATCTCCTAATTTCAGAAATGGCCAAGGCTTTCTTCTCTTAAAGAAGCCTTAATTTGAAAACCCAGATGTCTTGAACTGTTCTATTATTCTATACAAACACCCTTTTGTTGTTGGGATCCCAAGACATTTACAGCTCAATGGCTCAAGACTATCTGAAGCTAAATGCAAATAAAACAGAACTTTTTGTTAAAGGTCTAGTTTAGATGTAGAGGAAGTGTGTCTTAACAGCGATGCAGCCTTATTACTTTTAGCTAATGAAAATCATTACGATCAAAGCCTTCCTTCTGAAAACTTAAAAACCATCTATGCAACCAGCCATCCAAATATCACATCTATAGACTAATGTATTGCTCTGTGCTTTAAAATTGGTAAAAAAAAAAAAAGTGATTTGCATGCCTTTGGCTTATTCAGAATGATGCCACAACATCTTTAATACCAAAAAATGAATAACTACAATTACCACATTAATCTTTAAATTGTTAGTATACATCACAGATCTCTTTAGTTCATAATAGCTAGTAGTCATCATCCTCAGATAATATCTTACTGGTGTTTCAGAGTCGAGCCTGAAGATTTAAGGCCTTTAAGTGCTTTTACTTCTAGAGTCCCTAGAACCGAACTGAGGAGACTGGGCTGGGAAAAATGTTGTCATGTTTTAAGTCGGTTATAAAAATGCATTTTATAAACTGGCTTTTGTGGAATACTTTGGTGTGACTTTAGTCTTGTCTCCTCCTTTTTATAATTGTTAACCCTGGTAGGGTTATTATTATTATGAGCAGTGTTAGCTATTTGTTGAGCAGCAAAGTCAGTATGACTCCAGATAAAACAGCATGACAGTTATTGTTGTAGCCCCTGCGTCATGATGTGGGAGCTTGATGCTCACTGTGCCCTTGCGCCCAGTGAATGATAAACAGTTCAGAATGCTTTGGCAAGTGTTTGTGTCTGACTTTGTTGACCTTGCTGTCCTTTCTTTTCAGATACAATGGACAAAGTTGAAAACAAGCCCCATCTGCCTGGTAAGAATGATGTTTTTTTTTTAATCCAAAAATAACCTAATTTTGGCATAACTCTAGCAGTGCCCCATTTTGTTATTTTACTGTCTTGTTATACTGCTCCATAGGTTGTATTCTTTTTGCTGTTATCATCAGAAAATATTAGGCCTCCTCTTTTTTTTTATCCTTGCTCAATGGCACTGTTTCCTCTTCTGTGCAGTTCTTGGATAAAGTAGAGGTAGAGATGAGGACATGTGAAGAGCCTCGTCCACCCAATGGCCCCTCTCCTATAGCTATTACAGCAGGCCAGAGGTAAGCCTGCATAAATCTTGAGTTAAGCTGACATATCTGACGTTGAGTTCCATACTACATCACACATCATGTACATGGTGAACAATGCCTTCACTCATGTTTACATTGTGTATTTCCAGTGAATATGGCTTTGCTGAGAAAGTGGTGGAGGGCATGTCTGTGAGGATCAACTCCATCACCATTAAGGTGCAGGCTCGTGCCTTCCACGCCTCCTTTGAGCTCTGGCAGCTACAAGGCAACAGCCTCAACCCCAAATGGCAGCGCAGTGACCTCCGCTACACCCGCGTCACCGACCCAAAGAGAGGAGAGGTACAGTGCAGCGCACTTTCATCCCCCTCCTCACCCTGCTTTAACACTGTTCTGTCTAAGAGTTGTATCCAGCTAAATACAATGTTCTACCACAGAAACCGTGCATGCTCATTAACCTGCTGTAAATCATTTAATCAAGCCAATTGTTTTGGTCTTTATTAGCTGGAGGGACTATATCAAGATGAACAAGCTTTCTTAATGAGATCTTGTAATCCACTTAGAAGGAAATGCATCTGCTGCCTTCTCTTTGTGTCTAAAAAAAAAAAAAAAAAAACGTCAGCAGTATCGATCATTCCATATGTCAGAAAATGGTGTGTTTTTTGACTCATAGTGTTTTTGTGTTTAATCACAGTTGGATGGTTTCATATGTTTCTTGTTTCAATCAGGTTTTGACATTCAAAGAAATCAACTGGCAGAGTCTGCGAATCGAGGCAGATGCCATTGAGAGTGACGATCAGGACCTTGGTAGCACCCCGTTACGTCTCATCACTAACCAAGGACGAATTCGCATTGCTCTAAAACGCAGAGTAGGGCTGTGTTTCTACCTTTCATTTCCTGTTCTGTCATGGAATTGGTTAAAGATCACAAATGTGAACTCATCTAAATTACAAATGATTTGTCCCTAGTCTTTACGTCTTCATTGTTCTATCTAGATAAAGGACTGCAATGTGTTGGCATCTAAGCTGCTTTTCATTCTGGATGACCTGCTGTGGGTGCTGACGGACTCTCAACTCAAGGCTATCATCCATTATGCCAAATCTCTCAGTGAGGCCATGGAGAAGTCTGCCCAGCAGAGGAAGAACATGACTGCTGAATCCCTGCAGGTCCTCCCTCCTTCCTGCTCATGGATGTTTCGATGAAAAAATCTGTGCGAACAAAAAAAACATATGTTGAGATGTTAGGTTTTGTAATTACAGAGTGCATATGTTTAATGGAATTTCTAGGCCATTTTCAACCTTAAAACATCTAAGCTTAAACAATCAGAAGTCATTTCTCTCAAGAATTGTTATTTCTGCATACATTTTAATTAATTTGATATTGTATGAAAATACAATCTTTTTCACCACAAACTCAACTATAAACCAGACTCACCATTTTGTCAATTTAACTTTAAGTATAAAGCTGCCATGAACCCAAATTACAAGAAAAATGACCCAGGCTACTAAAAAAATACAAATCTAGTGATAGTCACTTAAATTATTATTATAGACCAGTATTACATGTAAAGTGATTTTTATCCCATCTCATTTTTGTTCCTTTTTTTTTTAAGCTAATGTCCTCAGACATGAATGAAATGCTGTGTGAAAGCCCCACAACAGCACTTTCAGCTAATTTTCTTAGCTTGTCTCTACATGATACATAAATAAAGTTATGTTGTAAATGAAACATGCTCAGTATATCCACCGATAAAAAGATGGACTCCAAATTTGCAAATATGCATTAATTCGGTATCCTCTCAAGGTGATGCCAAGACTCAAGAGCTTTTAACTAGAAAATTAATTGGCACAAGACTATTTCTGGATATGTTTCCTATACATTATAGTTCAAGCTTGTTTTTGTTCCCCTTTGAAATTTCTGTTACAAATTAGTTTTTCTTAATTCTGAGAAGTTTTCCTATTTCTGTTGTTTAGACTGCTCCTCCGTCTCCTGGCCTCCACAGCCTGTGGACAGAGCCCCCACCTGCTCCTACTGGCACCCCCAGCAACATGAGTCAATACTTTGAGCTCTATGATGTCAAGGAGTCTTCTTACCACACCTTCATATCCCGCTTGGACTTACACGTATGCAACGATAGTTCTTCAATGGATGAAGGTTTGTTGGGAAGAGTTCACCATGTCCCAAAAGTTATCAGCAGGTCGTCTTAATTCTCTTGTAACTCGAGTATATTTGTGCTTCATAAAGCTAAGATTGTGTGCTCAAAGTAATCCTTACTTACATACAATGCTCAATATTTGAAGGATAATTTCTGTGAAGTTGGTTTTTGACAGCTGTAATGTGATGTTCCATAGATGAGCCTCCCCCACCGGGCTTGCAGGGTGCGATGCAGCTGACCTTCAGAAAGCTAGGGTTTGACTACTATCCCATCCACAGACCTGGTGAGTGTGATGACTGGTCCTTCCTGTGACCATGATTGAAGTGCAGTTTACCCTGAGGCTTTGCACTGCTCCCACTGAAACCACAGCATTCAGTCAGGACTAGCTGTTAGGAGGATTACTATTCAAGCAGACTAATGGCTCAGGAGAGTGTGCCTAGTGCCTTTATTCTTTGTGGAATTCCTGAAGTAGAAAGTAGAACAGCAGGGTCACCCTTGAAGCCCATTATGGTCAATTAAACAAAGTTAGAAAAAAAAGCTTTTATTTTGCTATTCTGTTTGATTAAGACTTTTGAAGAGAATATGAAAAGTGCAAAATTACTATATTAACACAGTGAAAGTTTATATACTGTTTATGTATGAATATTGGCTTTGAAACTCTTGCTTTAATACATTTTATTGTGTATCGCATCCATGTTGTTTTCCTATTAAATTAACACTCGTGGAATTTTAGGAATTTGCTTTTAAGTTTTAAATACATAAATAGTCATTTACTTATAGTATGTATTTAGACTTTTTAGGAGGATTAATTACCTGTTACCTATCTATTTATTTAGTTACAGTTAGTTATTTAAAAAAATATTTACACCAAAACAAATTGTAATTTCTAAATTAGTTAGTCTAGAATGACGGCTTAATCATAACTAACTTTTGATACTTCTCTAATATAGCTGATGGGTGTCGACACTGGGAGCGCCACAGTGGAGCCATGGAGGCTCAGGCCCAGTGGGCTGGGAAGCTGCTGCAGGAGTACCATAGGAGAGTAGATGCTTCTGGGTTCCCAGGGCCACATACTGAGGTGCCCCATCCAACCAAGGACTCTCCTGCAAAGACAGTTCAAGGTAGGAATGCAGCATTAACATAAAGGTTTCTCTTTTTATAGAAATTCATTTGTTTTGTTTCTTCATTGCTGAACAGACAAAATTATACAGATTCAATGAACCATGAAAATAACCTTGACATAAGAAGGGGGTGTTTTGACTAAACAGTTAAAGTTCAAAGTCCACTTACTACAAATTTGGTCAGTTGTCAGGAGATGGAACTGTTGACATGTGTAACTTTAGAAACTATATAGATGCACTCAGAAAAACATAAATAACATAATAGAACTGAGAACTGGTACACAGGGGTAATGTCAGGTTTACACCACCTAAGACATTTAATACTGACACAAAGAAGAGAAAGACAAGAGCGTTATTTCTTACTCGCGAGGAGAACGGACAGAGATATGCTCAGTTACAATCTCCAACCCGCTCTGAGCATATTCCACCGTCTCCTCTCTTTTTATTATCACACAAAGTGTTCCAAGCATTCTTTGATTACAAGTCATTGCTTTATCTTAAAGACCTGAGAATCACACAAAAGCAATATGATGGGTGCCTGACTATACATATTTCACATATTCATCCCATGATGTAGAAGTAAGGGAAGTAAGGGAATGACCCCATTCAACATACAAGTCAACATATGTTTCAATAACAGTAGCATTTTATGATCAGACACAAAACTTAATCTGTTAAAATATGTTTGAACACTCGTGTTTTGTTCTTGCTCCTCTGGAAGCAGGCTATTTTAGCTTGTCACTGAGTGTTTACTCTCCCATTTACATGCTTTAGATGGACAGTCTAGTCCTAAGTCAACCCCCTCTGACAAAGAGCAGGCAACCAGCAGGAACTCTATGACAGCTCCTAAAGGGTCATCGCTGAAGAGGCTGCGATCTAGCTGTGTGGTGGTCAGAATGGATGACGTGGACATTCACCAGGCAAGCTTTTATCATCAGCTGATTTGATTTACCTGCTCTAACAGAAGCTTTACTCTTCAATAAATGGATCAAGGATGTTGTTGTAATGTTCCTCAGTGGTAGCAGTCAGGCAGTATCTGTGGCAAGGCTAGAAGTTCCCTTAAAATCCAAACATTTTAGCAGTGACAAGATAGTGCAGGTTTTGGACATCGCTGCAGTTAATCACAGATGGTATTGATATACATGACAGTATAGATAGGATGGTTAGTTGATTAAAGGTCCTTTTCTGTGACAATAGTGTATCTTTACATGTTTTTAACACTAAATATACTGCAGATATAGATTAATCATGTTCTAGTCACAACCTTAGGCAAGATGGAGCCTCAAAATGAAAGTGAAGATATTATCATTATTAAGAAGAAAATAAAGTTAATACCGTGCTCCTCCTCAAAAGCTTACCTCCACAGTAAGCTAGCCAGCTTACATTAGTGTCATGTGCTGCAGTATGCTCATCACTTGCAGCTAGCTCAATTCCTAAAAAGGAGTGTCACATAATCATCGTTGGAGGCATCTGCCTGACAGTCGTTACAGAGGGAGCAGAAGTCTCTTTCAGATCAGCCCTCTGATATGTTTGATCTGATGGCGGACTTGACATATTGATGCAATGACTTGAAAATGTTTGGTATCAAATTGCCCCTGTAACAAAAGAGTAATTATGCAATTGCTGTACTAAAAACCACAGCCTTATTCAGTAGGAAACAAAAAAGATAAATTACTACTGTATTACTGTACCTCAGTGGGAATAGAATAATCCCCTATATCACTTCACTTGGCTGCTCTGGTGCCTTTCATCTAAGACTGAGAAAGCTCGTGCCTCGTGCTCTCAGGCTGGTTCTGCATTTTCACTTTGGAAAATTCACACTTTTCATAACAAAAGTAAGATTTCCAGTGTTATTTTGAGTTTAAGATGCTTGTAGTTCCTCATTTGATAGAACAAGAGACACCCCGGGGAAATTCTGTATATGTCTAGGTCTCCACCTTCAGATTGTGACAGGAAGTCAATGGTGTTCAGACTCAGGTGATTTAGCTCTGTTTTCTGCAATATGCTTCTACTTTTTTTGAGTGATTTACTTATTGGGTCTTTAATGAAGCAGATAAATAAAAAAATTAATCTATATTTAGTGATGTTTCCACCGCTATTTATAACCTCTTCACTTGAACATTCAGGTGTCTACAAGGGGCCGTCAGAACAAGAAGACCCAGTCTTTATTATCCTGTAACCGTAAAGCTCTGCGTTTGCCGGACAGCGTACCAGCAGTTCATCTACAGTTTACTGAATACTACTTTCCTGACAACCCCAGTCTATCAGGTATCATACAACTGTCTTTTTATCACACAATCTAATGAGAAATGTATGTCAGTTTTACTCGCATATTGTGCTGTAAGATTTATTTTTAATTTTTTTTTATTACAGTACAACCCCGTTTTATTAATATTCTGTGTTGTAATACAGATCAGTTTATGTTTTTCTGCCTTGTTACATTTACATCACAGATGGCCAACTTATTGGCTATTTTTCAGTGTCATCAGCATTTACTGAAGAGGAATTTGTTTCTTGGTTGTTTGTTAATATTAAGATTGTTTGTGTCATAGTTACTTTTCCTTCTCTCCTCCACCCAGTACCCACCTCAAACCTGTACGCCCAGTTAAACAGCCTGCAGCTGTGTGTGGACCCAGCCAGTGTGCTGTGGATCAATCTTTTTTCCAGGGGCCTACTGCACACTCTTGACCAAGTCAAAGCTTTCTACCATTTGCAAGACAGTAGCAAGGCTGAAGAGCATTTAGACATCCGCATGGATGCATCTCAGCTTAAGGTGAATGCACAACTGTTTTTACAGTAGTTTCATAATTTTTTTGAATCTAAAGTATTTGTGATTGTGTTTGTCCCTAAGTCATGTAAATTGTTATTTATGTTCTTTTCTATAGCTGATAATTCCCTTGGATTCTTCCATATTGGACCATCCAGAGCGTCCACAGTCCCTGTCTGTTACTGTACCCCAGATGGTTCTCAGCAACACTCGCCACTGCCCCCATGGCTCCAGAGCTGACCTCAACACTATCTATGACAAGTTTGCCAGCTGCTCTTTCTTCCAACCTACACCACCCTGCCCTTACCCCAGAGACCTGAGTGCCTTCCACCCTACTCCCTCCGCCTTCCACCATCACTCTCAAGAGACGGAACCCCAGCCTCTAGACAGAAAGCAGCTACGATCCCAGGATGTCTGGTCTCTCAGTCTGTCACGTGTAACCCTAGGTTTTGATGGAGCTCGGCGATTCCCCAAAGGCAGGACCCAGCCTTTTGTTGAGCCCTTTGCCATGTCTGTGTGGATGTGTCAGCCCGCTGCCTTTAGAAGTGGTTCATCATCTTCCTCCTCCAGTCCCAGCAGAGCCCACCAGCCTTCTCCAGAACAGGACGAGGCTTCGCTTGCCTCTATCCACTTCCTGGCTCACACCATCACTCCAGTAAAATTGTGGCTCAACCACTACCAATATGTAGCACTGCTGAGAATGAAGGACGCCATGGCTCGGTTGGGGGCAGAGTTGGGCCGGGATCTACGAGATGTTAAACAGGCTCATGGTCAGAAGACAAAACCCACTACTGTTTGTGTTGCCCTTCTGGTGGACTCGGCAGAACTGGGTCTCCTGTTGCCACCAGTCTCCTCAGAGCCAGAGGAAGAGGTCCCCCACACCCCAGAGACAGACAGCCCCAGCATGACAGACTCTGACATCTCCCCGACTCATAACTCTGCAGATGGGGTCCTGGAGGACAGTGGGTTGGAAAATGGCATCTCCTCCAACAATAGAGCTGCCACTGCGTTTGATCAGGATGAACAAGATGGGGTGGTGGAGGAGGCATGTGAGGCTGTGGAGGAGGGGCTGGAGGGGGGTGGTTTGACAACACAACAGGAGGACGCTGTCCTCTCACCTCCCCTCTCACCTGGACACTCCCCTGCCATTTCCCGTGAGCCATCCACCTTTAGCCTGGAGGGAGAGCTGTCAAGCGCCATTAACGTCACCAAGGATGTGACCAAAGATGCCATCAGTGCCTCGCTGGACCTGACCAAAGGGGCGTTTTCAATAACAAAAGATGCGTTTAGCATCCTGAGTCGTGGCTCAGGAATGAGCAAATTGTTCAGTCCACAGGCAAAGTAAGTGCTAGTGCTGTCCTGCTGGGCTGTTGGCAACATAATATTGTTAGTGTCTGGGTGCCATACTGTGCACCACATGCTTTTACTGGCTGTCCCTTAACGACTCTGTGTATGTTTTATGTGTGTGTTCACAGGGAACAGGTCCAGCGCTCCGATGAGTCCTCCCCCTCGTTGGCTGCCAGCCTGCGCCACCAGTCCATGAAACAATCGCCTTCCCAGCATTCATTTGATAGTGCTATCCTGGAAGGCAGCCTACCTGATGAAAATCTATCTGTGGATAGTGATGTCAGCGACAATTTTGTTGTTCTCATGGACTCAGGTACTTAAAATGTTTCCAAGTTTGCTTCCAAATGCTTCCAAGTTACACAGGTGACATCTACTATAAGTTTCTCTTATGTTTCCAGAGTCGGGTATGGAGTCCATGCGTCCCAACAACACGCCAGCAGGCAGCCAGAGCAGCCCAGCCCCAGGGACAGAGGGTGGTTCATCTGCTGATCTCAGCAGCTCCCTGTCCCAAAGCACTGAGGATGTGTCTCAGGACATGGTGGGTTACTACACTCATGTAACAGATTTCATGGATAGATTGCATTTATCATAGGAGTTACTGTATGTGCCCGAACAAAGTAATACCTTAAAGAACAATTAAAAACTTGTCATCAATCATTTTAACAATTCAATTCAAACCTTCTCTTCAAATCTGAATCTGCAAAGGTTTTTATGTGACTTAATTGTGCGGTTGTTACAGTCTTCAGTGTTGTTGCTGATCATGAGTGGAACGGCCTGTACCATGGAAGTAAAGGGAGAAGACCAAGTTGTGGCTGTGGAAGCCCAAAATCTGAGCCCTGTGCAGTTGGGCAATGTCAGGGTATCTGACCTGCTGGCTGGTCTCATACAAGGTAAACCAGATTACTATAGACACACTGAAAATTTCTGATGACAAAGTCTTGAAAAATTCTAATCTGTCTGTCTTACTAGTCATATACAGCACCACTTTATTGGTGGCTTATCAATGAGTTGCTAATCATATTCTAGAAGAGCCTATATTTAAATTAGTATTTTGGATGGCCTTTAGAAAAAGGGCAAAAAATGTAAATCAATCCTGGTCCATGGGCTTCTGCAGCATCTTGAAGTGTAGTTAAAGATCCAGATATACCGACAGATGTATTTTAATACATTTATAAAAATGCTCTGCTTGTGAACATAGTTTGTGTCTGTGTCTGTGTTTTTTTTGTTTTTTTTTTTTAAACAAAAGTTAAATTACATAATTAAACATTCTTACATTTACTCCTTCTTCCTCATTGAAATATTTTTCATTTTGAAAATTAGTAAGAGTTAAACTGCTGAATGCAGATGTCTCCTACTTCAATGGAAAGTCCATTTTCAGTGTATGTGCACTCGAGGTTTCACGTTTTCACCTCGCATATACATACCGGATCATAATTGGCTCCAAATTAGATGGGATGCCACAAAATCATCTTGTATGTCCACATTTTCACAGCAATTTAAGGTGAGCACAGAAGTTTCACCCTTCAGCAGATGAATTTGAGACCATCAAACATCCAAGTCAAGTAACAATAAGCAAAATAAATCTTTTAGTGGTGGGGGAAGAAACCGCTCAGATATCATGTAAAATATTGCCTGATCTCTATTCTCTTTTGCATCACAGGTGAGTTAAATATAATCACAAAAATGGGATAAGTACTATGTCTTCTGTTGTATAAATGCCTCCAAATCAAAATGTAGTTACTCCAATGTTGCACATCGTCTCAACACAAGAAAGAACCTGATCAGTCAGTGCGGCAAGCCTGCAGTAACTGGTTGCAGTGTGAAGTGCCCACATTGTTTACAAATGTGCCTTCTCCTTTGTTCCTGCAGCTCCAGGTGGACCAGTCCAGAAGCAGTATAGGCAGGGTAGCAGGGGTTCTCCAGTTGTGCGCATGCGAGCAGAAATGGGTCCATCCGCAGCCCGACACTCTGCTCTGGCCGAGTCTGTGGGTTTCTTGGATATGAGAGTGCAAGACTGCCACGCAGAGTTGTTAGCCTCCACAGTGACTAACATTGGGCCTTTTCTGGAAGATGAATTCAGTGTTGATGGTCAGCCAATGAAATTACACCTGAGAAACATCACCATCACTATGAAGGTGGGTTGTTGCATTCAACTAATTTGAATTTGCTCATTATAAGATGTTAAATGAAAATGTTTAAATACTTTACATGTAGATTGGATGTAAGAATGTTTTCCTCACAAAAGACTTTTGAGAAAAATCCATTCTGTGAATCCACTGAATTGAATTTGTTTTTAATATGTGACCTAGTACTCCATAGAGCACAGTGACACTAAGTGGATTATTCTGGTAATTAAAAGTAAATTGAATTGAATCTTTGGGCAGACTGTAATTTCATAGAGTAAAAGACATGCAGAAGTAATGGGTAGCCAGTGTTGACGTACGTGGTAGTGTGTGATGTAACAGGCTCCCTTCTTGTTTTTTTTTTTTTTAAGGATGATGGCCCTAGAAACTACCCCACTGCCCCTCAACCTGTCCCAGCCACATTCATTGTAGATCAGCTTCTGCTTGAGCGCGCTGAAGATGGCATCATGAGGCTCAAAGGTGGGCAAGAGAAAAACATTCTTTTCTTTTTCATTTTGTGCACTATAACAAATGTAATGCTTGTCAGTATTGTCGATACACACAGTTACCAGCAGGATCATGAACCGTAAAAACCACAAGCACTCAAGCTGACAGCATCTGTAACACATTTACAAAAAGGTGAACAGAAAGTAATCTTCACTATTTCCTTTTCGATTACAGCCTCAGCAGGTGCTCCCGGGGCTGGCCCAGACAACACACACAGTTCCTGCACTGTTCAACAGCAGAGCGAGGTAGGGGAGAACTAACACAACCGTATACTTGTGTGCTTAAGTTTAATGTATCTGTAGGTGGGGCCGTAGCCAGGATTTTCTAAATACTAGAAAATATCTAAACAATTAAGTATAGAGAGTAGGCCCCTTTAAAAACTATTTTTATGATAAAATATATTATACACTTAAAGTGTTAGTGTTATTAATTTATAAAGCCTTTATTGTCATTCTAGGGATCCAATGAAAAATAATATTTGTAATTTGTATGAAATGTCAAGTGTTAACTCAGCGCACTGCTTCCTAACATATTTAGGAGCTAACAGCAATGAATCAACTACAAGGCTGTGGAAACCTCTGTCTAAAGTTTTTTTGTTCTCCTACATTTTTAATGGCCAGATGAAGATATTCAAACTGCAACTGAGTTAGATTCATTCAAATTAGTTTCTACTCGTGTTTTAAATCCAGTATAAAAGTAATTATATTATTTTAAATATAGCTGTAATGCTGGTGTCCTGTTACTTATCAGCTGTAGGATAGACAAAGCAGAGATGAGACTTAAGTACACAAGATTGTGTAATAGTATTGTAATTACACCTGTTGCTGTCAGTCAGAATCTGATATCTGTCCACTTGGTGTGTAGCACCTAGCCATAGCACGCCTTCACTGTACCTGGAACTAACCAATCCAATGATCCTGCACTTTCAGAGTCAAACTCTGGAGTCGCAGCTTTCTGATGCCCAGGCTGCCCTCACACAGGCCGTCAGTGACAGAGAGCGTCTCCTTCTGGAAGTCAGAAAGTATGACCCCACATTTACTCTCTGAGCTTCACCTCTGAACCTACTACATCACTGCTCCTGCTGAGGGATTGTGATCGGATGTATTGCGGGATGAATGTCAGGAACCAGCAAGAGTCATGCCGAGCATGTCCGGCCATTGGACATGTTTGGGGGAAAAAAAAAAAAAAAGAGTCCAAGTTGTGGCTTTGGATCACTTCCCACTTCCTATATCACGCTACTCATAAAATAACAAAAGAGCTGTTACAACAATTAGGGGAACCTGGTGAACTAATTAATAGGTACATTACTGGTACTACTTTTTAATCGGGCAGTCTAGATATTCCTCACTGCCATACTAAACACAAATTATCCTGGTTATTTCTCACTCAAATCAGTGTGGATAGTAAACTCATTGTGTGGTTTCAGTGTTTGTCACACAGCATGCAAGGGTAAATTTCATAAAGCTTTAATTCTCTCCACTTCATGATTTGTGTTATGGAAACCTTAAGTCAAGCACATGCCAAACCCTCCTCTTCACATGCACTGACACTGCCAGACAGCTGCTAGTCCATCAGAGAAGAAGTCACTGTCAAGCATGCTTTGTGAACAGTGCTAATTTACACACAGCACATTTACAGGTAGTCATAAGGCTATACTTAGTAATGTAGAGTACCTCTGTTTAAGTGTAAAATACAATAGATCCATGTGTTTCTTTTCATTTAAAAGTATAAAAAAAATATTATCAGCTGTTGTTGCAAATGTGATGTAAAAGGTAGGAAAAAAGATGCACTTTTTTTAAAGAAAAAAAAAGCAGAACTCTACTGCTTTCATGGAGAGACTGATGCATCTCAGTTTCTACCTTGGTTGCTTTATCACCAGGGTGGAATGGTTACACTCTTATCAAGTTCTCACCATTCTTTAAAAAGTGTGTTGAATCATTCCCCAGTGTTATATTATCCTTTGAGTTGTGAAATGTTGGTCATGCTTCTTTTGTACTGTGAAACAATGTTCTCAGTGGTTGAAAGTCCACAAAAAAATAAGACACGCCTTTTATTCTCTCCCTGTGTTGCTGTGGAGAGCAGGTTGCACAGTAGCTTCAGTATTAGTCTTTTCACTCTAACTCTCTGGTTTTAAAGAGGTTTGGGATTATACCAGCAACCAGAGATATAATACTTGACCTTCTTGAAACTTGCTTTGTAGCTTGCCAGGAAACAACTCAGACTGCTAGTGTTATTACCTCTGTACACTGTTATCATGTGTAGTGATCAGACATAATGGACTGTTAAGTTCACTGTGTATGTTGTTTAACTTGTGTATATTTATTTTTGTTAGATTCACCACAGTATATTGAAGCCATATCAATCAAAAAGTGACATTTTAAAAATCTATGGTACTGATGGCACTGTTGATGTATACAGTGTTTTATGTGTTACCAAATTCACTACAAAAACTGATATATTTCACTATCTTCAACCCTGATCTGCTGCAGAGTTTATCTCTCAGGCCAGTTGCCAGTTTAAATTTCTGTCACTTTCCTTTATCCATGCATAAATCTGTTATTTGCATGAATTCAGACAATGATGGATTTGTTACTCACACGGACTGTTTAACAGCATAACATTAATTTTATGAATGCTTTCTTTAAGAAGACCTCTTTGTCAGCTACATTTTATGTACAAATGTGCTATTGTTAAATCAGTGGTTTAGTGTTTTGCCTTTGGTGGTACGATTATCTGTTTTCATGGTTGCAAAGCTGTTACAGCTATCTTTGACTTCCATTGTGTGCTCAGGAGCCCTCTGGTGGCTGTGAATTGCCAGAGCACTCCTCATTTAAATATTAGTATTTCATTTTATCTTTGGTTGCCTTGCAAGCTATGAATGCCAGATTATCAGTCTTAAAGAGGAATGTAAAATATTTAAGCAATAGAAAGAGAGCTTGTGTTTAACCAAAAACATGACAAAGAACGGTAACACTACACATTTTTGATGTGGAATTCTTGAATTCTTAAGAGGACTAATGTCAAGAAAAATGATTTACCTGTCTATCAGGTTTAGTGGTTTCCCCTCAACTGCATGTGGACTCAACACATCCCCATTCTGTCAGTGTGATTATGGCAGAGATACATACTGCCCTTTAACCTCAGTATCACTTATAGTTGTGATCTTCTTCTCAGCTTTTGGTGTTTTATGTTTTTGCATGGCCTTCGTAAACAAAGATATGGTGGTACGAAATCGAACGTCCCATGCTGGATGCAACATGTAGCTGTAAAGTTTGCCCAGTTTATGTCCTCAGTCAGGCCTCAGTGTTAAGTAGCATCCATAATCTGCTGACAAACTGGTGCTCTGATACCTGTTCACTAGACTTCCTTTGCACTCTAGAGCAGGCCAGGGTTTCCATGACCCTTACCCAGTGTGCCATGCAAAAAGGAAAAGATGGACAGAGAGTGAAGCAGGACTCACTTCAAAGTGTGTGTTGTTCTCTCTCTAGGTGCATGAACTGAAGTGTTGTATAGTTATGCCTTGTGGATTACTTGCACTCGTGTAGTAAATTCACTGGAAATTGCACTTGTTTAGATGTATATCACTTCAAAGGCTTGCAGAGGAGTCCTTTTGAAATCTTCCTAAGTGACGCAGATGTTGAAGCCCCTGTGGACATTTTTTTGTCAGTTGTGTAGAATTACATTGAATTTTGTATTGTCTTTACCACTTCATTGAGACTAATATAAAATTGGTTCTGTGAACCAAAGCTAGTATGTGAAAAATATTTTAAAAGTGAAAGAATAAATGATTAATTGCTGAACACTTTTCAGTTCTGCCTTTGTGTTTTAATATAAAATGCAATTCTGAAGATGTACAAACATTGTATGTTACTGCTCATTACAGTTATTTTACTAGTGTGATCCATAGTTTGTTTGCCTTTAACCTCATAAAAAAAGTACATATTTCAAAAATAAAACATGAACATATAAATTTGATTTCACAAGCCTAAAATAAGAGAGATGAGCTAAATTATGAGACAAAAACAACTGTCCTATAAATCTGAAAAAATGTTTGATTATCATTATCACCTCATTTAAACCAATTTCATTTCCTCTCAAAAAACCATGAGCTTGAAAAGCCTTTCTCCAAAATAACTGAGGCACAAGAACAAAACACTTTAGATTTTCAAGTATAAAATTGTATTTACAACCTTAATATATGTATATAATTTTACGCCTTGCTATGGACCCCATTAGTTGTGTCCTTAACAAAGACTGAATGAATGAACTGTGTGTTGCATCAAGCATTTACCTTGACAATTAGAGTTGAATGCCATACTTTACTGCTGCCTTGACCTTTCTTCAATACTACAGTCAATACTGAGCTTGATCAGGTAGTAGAAAATAATCTCTGCCCAGTTGGTTGCTGTGTGGTTACAGTGGTTTCACCATCACAGGCAGTCCTCTGTCTCCATCATCCCTATACTGTGTAAAACACTGGTGTCTCAGTGAAAGAGAATATTCTTGTACTTGGTGTTAGGAATCTGATCTCGGCTCTTCAGCCTCCTCACTGCTTCCCTCATGTGTTTGGGTTGTAGAGGTGGTGTATCTCCCCATTTCTCACAAACATCCAATGCTGCAAGGACAAAGACAAATGACATAATAGTAAAAATTTAAACTGCGGGGGAAAAGGAGACAAATAAAAACTCGGCTTATTTATTTATGTATTTGAAATTATTTTGTCAAAGTCTGCCACCCACCTTCCTCAACAATTTCCCCAGCAAAAACCTTGGAAATACCAGACATGGCAATTACTACATTCTGGGACACTGATGATCCTGTTATGGACTGGATCAGCTAGAAAAAGTAAAAAAAAATACATGAAACAAATAGAAAAGTTTCAAAGATTTAAAAACACTTTGTCAATGTTCACTAACAGCTTACCCTCTTAATAGCAGCCTTAGGAAAGGCAGACCGTCTGTACATCTCATAGCGATTCAGTTGCTCTTCAGAAAAGGATGACACCAGAACCCTTTAAGACACAAGAAGAACAGGGGATGATGGTTAGGTTCAGCAGGATTAGACCAATACAATTTATTGCAAATTGCAAAGTTTGGATAAAAATTTCAATCTTACTGCATCTTTTGTATTTCATCTTCATCAACCTTGTGGCGCTTCTCCTTCTTCTTCTCTGGTTCCACCTTCAGTCTTTTGGAACTAGGCTGGCTAGAGGTTCCTTCTTCCTCATCTTCTCCACCTGCTGTTTCCTTCACAGTGGAAGATAAGATTGTTAAGAGCAAATAAAAAAACAAGAGATGCCCTTACAAAAACCACATGAACACGTGAATATTGCCTAGACAACGTTTACTTAAATACTCAAATTTTATAATTTATTTAAGGTTATAGAGAGATTTAACTTTGACTATAATAATTATTATACTGGTATATGCTACACAGGTTACACTGGTGTTATAGTCTCAGTTCCATTTCATACACACATGGTCAATTATTTTATAAATCCACACAAAATGTAAATATTGCCTCCACTGCAACTGGCCTCTAAAACCTTTGTTTATATTTGTTTTTCTCTCCCCAAACACCGACTTCCTTCCAAACTTGTAATATTTGTGTATCTTTCTCAAAATATAAATAATGTTTGAATTTCTATACTTCTTCTTCTACAGTTGTGTAAAACACTGGCACAGACCACAAGTCCTGTAATATGAACCCCACCGCCTCCTCTGATGTTTGAGAAAGTAAACTCCAGGACTCACAGATTTAACCTCCTGTTTGGACTGGTCTTGCGAGGACGAGTCTTTGTTTTCATGTGTGGGGTTTGATGTGGCAGGTATATCTTCAGTTTCCTCTGATTTAGGATGCTCCGCGGTAGCAGAAGTCGTCCTCTCAGATGCATCCTCAGCTTTGATCCGTGCAGGGTCGGCCATAATTACTCACTGCTCTAACCGTAGCTGACAGCCACAAATTCTGAGGAAAAAAATAGTTTAGGTAGTTGATTAGTTAAGTTACCCGTTTGGTTGGATAGCTGTAATGATAGCTTCTACACCCAGCTCAAGTCTGATGCAAACGTTACATGGCAAATCTTTTTAACCATCTACCTGAGAAGCATCAGCACATAATTTACGTGTTTGCGTTAACTGTCACATTTGTAGCATAAACTGGATGAAAATGCGTATAAAACATGCACCTACCTTCTCTGCAGCCAGGCGTCAACAAAACAGCAGCAACAGCTAATGGTGGAGTTAAGCTAATGTTAGCTGAGTAACTGACGCTACTTAGTAAAGCGGCAAACACATGATGTATTCACTTTTTTTTAGTAAATACACAAGACTTCCTCTGCTATTACAATAAATCCAATGTAAGCAAATTACAATCAGCCTAAGTCGAATGATAGCACCAAAATGCTAATTTTCGATAGCGTAGTACACTATTTCCGTTTCCGTTTTGTATGAACTTTATTAACACTTGGTCAGTACAAACACTGACCAATACTGGTATCAAACACGTTGGTATTACACAGTATGCTTACTGTGTATTTATTTATTTATTTGCAATAATTAAGAAACAACCTTTTAAATACAGTGTTTCCATTTAACTCTTAAAGCACATGTTCCAAACTATGTTACAACACACAGTTTAGACAATCACAATCACTGTTACTGTAACTCATAAACAGTCTACTGTCACCTGATAACGTGTTGCGAAATGTTCCTTTTCACACCCATCAAGGCATCTGAGACGGTTTCTTTCGCAAAACTAAGGCATGAATTCCAACAATGTTTTCCCTTATTGTTTACAGTCTCAGCTATTTCACAGCTGTTAAATTTAGTGACTGTATTTTTTTTTTTAAGAATAATTCAAGCCTCTGATTTACGTTGAGCATTAACAATGTTAGTGACTGTTAACAGTAAAAAAAATAAAAGGTTTGGAAATTTGTTCTGGATAGCAGGAATGACAGGAGAACAGACATGTCAAGCATTGGATGTGTATAATCGCTGCTCCGCTACCCCCCCCCCCCCCCCCCCCCCACTTCTTTTAGTGAGTTTGGCTCTGGCACCATTTTGCTTATACCCATCCACCTCGTCTCTGAAGCAGCTAGGGCGGGGGTGCTAGGGGTTGTATGTGTGTGTCGGATTTGAGCAGCAGAAAGAAAGGGCAGTTTCGAGGAAGTGACGGACGAGACACAGGGGACTGGTCAGAGGAAGTTTGCTCGATGGTGGTGCCTTGCTGCTGAGCCAAACTTTTCCCCCTTGAGCGCCAGCGGCACCGTGGGTCGGGACGGTCGGATCCAGCGGCGGAGGGAGCTACGCCAGCAGCTCTGAGGAATAACTTGAGATTGGGAGAAAGAAGGGATCGCAGAGGAATTTCACTCCAACCAACTAACCGCCCCCCTCCCCTTTTCCTTCTCTTCCCCGCGCCTCCTCCGATTTTTTTCTGGGATCCGCGATGGGGAAGGAGCAGGAGCTTCTCGAAGCGGCGCGGACGGGAAACCTGGCCGCAGTGGAGAAGCTTTTATCCGGGAAGCGACAGTCAGCTGGCACCGGCAGCGGGTCGTCTGGGACCGGTGGAAGTGGCAACAGCGGCGGCCACGGAGCCTCCTCTCATCCGCTCTCCAGTCTGCTCAGGTAGGCTCTGGAAAAGAGGGAAGGAGAGGCGGATATAACTGAATGGGAGACAGTCGCCAATGTTGTCCCTATCCGACATTGTCTGATTATTTACAGCTGTAGGTAGTGTAGTATTTAACGTTCATGGCCAGGTACAGAGTAATGTTGTTTTGCATTGCCAAACAAACAGCCTAAACCAGTGCAGCGCAGAAGCAGTGGCATGCTTCTTTGTTAGCTCCCAGCTCTGTGTCCCTGCCAGCTTTACTGTAATGTGTATAAACAGCTCAGAAGGCAATTGTACAACTAAACTAGAGAAATCTGCAACAGAACAGCCCCTGGTTTCTTTGAAAACTGGTGCACATGTATTATTAATAGCTTACATACAGTCTAGACCTGAACACTCACTGGTGAAGGTGGAGTAGAAAGCCAGTTGTCAGAACCAGACTCTTGTTTTTGAGCCGCATCACTGTACTATTTTGGAAATCTGTTTTTACAGCTCTAGGTATGAAACTCCTTTCATTTACACCAAGAGGGAAATCCTTGGTGAGGTAAACATTTGATGTTGTTTTTCACATTCACAAAAAAAGATGTAGAGATGCTCGGTCAGGCTTTGGCATGTCACCAATGGCTTTTTGTTGTGCTCACCCCTCCTATGAGAAATTTACAGATAAGAAAGCAAACTACAGTCAATATACCACATTTATCATCCTTGACCACCTATCAGCTGTTCACATGGTCTGTCTGTATTAGCTCAGATTAAAATGCCTGATTTGGAGTGATGCTTTACAGAACAGGACACATTTGCCTAAAATGGAAGTTATTGGACAAGGCTTTGGTAATATCCCTAGCCCGTGGTCCTGTCCTGTCCTGTTTTTGATAGTACGAGATTGCATCGCTGTATTAAGAAAAGGCAGCTTGGCCGGGCCTTCTTCTAATGTACCATCCCTCTAACTTTGTGCAGATGAGGGCTGCAGGGTAATAATAAATAATAGGATGAAATGTAATAGATCTGATAAGCCCAGAGTTTCATTTTGTCCTGCAGATGATATCTGAATTATAAGCTTACCACAACAGGATTGTTGAATTTCCCTGGGCTGGAATGTGTTGTTCTGAGACCATATGATGCAGTTCCATAATGTATCCATGGTCTAGACAGTCATTGGGATATATGCAATGTTAAGACCCACCAAGAAAGAAATTAACAGTCTTATTGCTGAGAAATAGCCTGTTTCTTAAGGGTTCATATGCTGCTATATGACTGTCTATACATCAAAATGAACTATAACTGGTAGGGTTGTTGAGATAAAATTTATGGCCAGGGTAAGGGCTGCATGTCAAATGCAATATTATTATTTACATACTGAGCACATGTAGGTGAATGTCTGTCAATCAAAATATACCATTGCTCTTGTGGGAGCTCAGTGCCAGCCACCATCATCTGATGGACAAGTGTTACAGCATAGCACTCGAGGTGATGCATCACTGTGTTACTTAGTGCAGACTGTACAATGTACTCAAGGTAATTGCATTAGACCCTTATAATCAGAAATCCAAAATCCAATTCAGAGATGTCTGCAGGCAAGGCTGGCTCCGTCACTCCCTCACAGAGCTGTGGGCGGACTGAAGAGCACATTGTGTCATCTGTTCTGACTTGAGCAATCACTGTTTGGTCATGATAGCACTGAGAAATTAGTGGCTAGACCTTGTATGAGAGGAATTAACTACTGGTAAATGGACTCGAAAAACTTGTTGCTTATGGACACCTGAGCTTATAGGACAGTCTCTCAGGATAAAACAAGTTGCAAGATTATTGACGACAGGGCAGCCTGGGGGATTGTTGTTATTGTGCATATTTGATTTAGTTTGCATAATGAAAATGTCAATACGTTTAAGGGTATCACAATGAATTACTACAGTGTCACTAGCTGTGGGTTAGAGTGTGTGTGTGTGTGTGTGTGTGTGTGTTTTTTCTCTTTGTAACTTATTCATTGTCCATTGTTGGAAAGTGTAGGCTTGTAATCCTGTCAAAGGAGATTTGATCTGTAGGGAGGAGCTTTCTTTAGCAAATTTTTAGCCTGTGTTGATTGTAACATCAGCATGTAGAATGGGATGTGTGTTATCTACACTTCATCTGAATTCCACTTCATTACAAGCACATGAACTACCACTTTAATAAAACGTCTTCATAATTTAAGGTGGTCCGAAGCTTAAACGCTCATTTAATTCAGCTTGCTTCTGCTGTTATAGCAGGACATTCGGCCTTATGCACGCAGACGATCTGACCTAATCGGCTCCAATACTATTCCTTGAAGGTGTGCTGTATGTGTTTGCCCTAGATTTTTGGCGATCCTTCTGTGGAATGGAGTGCATGTCAAGACTTGTTGTGTTTTTCTAACCAGGCAGTTGTACAGCTCTGCTGTGCGGAATGTCTGCTTTCCCAGGAGGCTGCATCCCAGCGGCTACCATGGGACCGACACTGACCCCGACATGTTTAACACTGTCGCCACCCCAAACATTTGTTCTGTGGTGCTCCATTGACACCAAAATGAGCTGGGCGGGGCTTCCTGAAGTAGTATTGTCACGGTGTAACCTTTATTGTGGCACTGCCCAGTCATGGTTGCAGTTTGGTTGAAGCAGTATTAAGCTTTAATATCGTGTGTTGGAACTACATAGTCCATATTGTGGCATATTTTAGGACATACATTTGCTGTGTACCTCAATACCAAAGTTTTTGCTCAGGCCCCATGATCTGTTTTGATCCCCGAGGTCTACAGGAAGAGCTCTTCACTCGCACTTCCTGGCCCAGGTTGTCCAAACACGGGCAGCTGCTGTGGTCAGACCGGAGGTAAGACAAGTCCCTGGAAGGGAGAGTGCCTGCCCACTGAGGGGAAATTAACAGAGGAATGCATGGAGTTCTGGACAGACGCTCTGAGAGCTTAGCCAGATGAGGGCTCGTCTCCCAGCTTCACAGCCCTGTCCTTTGTCCCACTGACAAAGCGTAGAATGATGGCTTTTCATATTCATATCAGTCCCTAAAGACCATTCTGGGGCTTTTCTTTACTTTTTAGTTTTACAAACAGAATTGAGCTGTCATTTGGATAGGATTGGACCACCTATTTAGAGAAGCCTTCTCATCCAGGCTAATGTTTGCTATTGCTATAGGCTGAAACAAGTCAGGTTTTTGCTATATTTAGTAACAGTATAGTAGAAATATAGTTTCTGTACTACGTTTCTCCTGTTTCTAAATGCTAGTGAGGGAAGCATTTCTATCAGTGCGATGACTTGGTTAGCATTTTAAGAGGCTTGGGCACAACTCCAGATCATTCCATCCCATTACATCTACAATTTCTGGCTCACCCCAAGCAAACCCATGCTGTCAGACTGGTGTCAGCTGAGAAAATATCTGCTGCATAACAACTAGCACATACTGTCCTTTTAAAAACAAAATTCCCTGCAGCTTCTCTGTTATTAGGATCTATGCGCATGTAGAATTCACTGGGTGTGAAGGTGCACTGTAGGACCTGGGATGGTGTGTCTGCAGATGACAGGTTTCACAGCGGGATTCTGGCACCCTCAGTCCTTAGCTGTGTTTCATAGTAGCTATCAAGGTTCTGCTGTATGTTCAGCAGACAGTGTTAACAAGACAGTTTCTATCACTTTTACAGCAACGCCAGGAGCCTCACATCATTCCTAGGTAGCTAAAAGCTAGCACTCAGCAGGGCTGGCAGTCACTTTTCATCAGTTGTTGACCTCTGAACTGAAAGAAACTTTAGCTGGTTCAACCCAGGAGGGAGCAGTGGTAGCTGGGAAATCTAACACCACCATGTTAGCATTCCTGAAGCATCTGAGTTTGGGATGCTCTGGTCTGCGCGTTATGTTTACGGCCCATGTTTGTGTAGTCTGAGAAAGCATGCAGAGAGGCACTTAGTAGCAGTGATGAATTCCACATATGTGTGTGTGTGTGTGTGTGTGTGTGTGTGTGTGGGAACTGACAAATATAATGTCCATGCAGTAGGTAGCCATCATCATGTTAACCTAATGGTGGTAGGATAAAAATAGTTTTCATCCAAGTGGGTCAGGGGATTCTTGATTAGTTTGGAGAGGAAAAAGTTGGCCAGGAGTTGAAATAGACGATGTCCTGTATCTTGTGTGGATTTGAAGCACTGATGATAACTATAGTAATAAATGATTTTAATAACACTGTTCACAATAAAGTGCTTATCAATTAAGAAACATTAATGTCCCAGTTCTCTGGTTTCTCACACAAAGCACTGTCATTAACATATTTCTGTGCTTCCTGTATTGAAAGAAACAGAAAGTTGCTTATGTAGCAGCAAGACAGTGACATGCGGACGCGTTTACTGACTCTTCTGTGTGCTTGTTTATGTGAACTCTCTTTCACCCTGGTCACTGAAACCCTTATAATAACAAATGGACAAATGGAAGAGATAAGGTTGTAGGATGAGGTTGTAGTGCATCTCTGTGTGTGGTGTCTGTTTTTTAACCCATCTAGAGGAAGAAGTACCACAATGACCCGAGACATCAGGCCCACCCTCTTGTCCTGTGCAGGACCTACATGTGTTAGAAACCCCTGACCCAGACATTTATGTCTGTCTGGGCTGCTGGCTGGCGTCTCCCTTTCTCTCCCACTCTGCTTCTCTCAGCAGCCTTCTTGCCCACCTGCTGGGCCCACGCCAACCTCCACTCCACCTCTAGACTTCAAACATGTTGTACTTGGAGTCAGAGTAATGGCGCTGCCCTCAGTGTGTTCACACAGGAAACAAATTAGCCTAGATCTTTTTAAAATTCCCTTTTGCTTTGCTATTTCCTCAAACACTATAAAAGCACTCTGGACTGGATTAGCCTTAGCATGACTAAGCAGACTCGTAACAGTGTGACTGTGGAACACACCTACTTTCATATTTACACATAGCTTATCATGAATGAGATGTGAAGCTCACAAAAATGCCACAAGTTTAAAAATTGTTGCCCCTAAGTTAAAGTAACACTTTTCTGATCAT